TTAAAGATAAATTCCTAATAGGAATTTTAATTTGCCTTCATATCCAGCAGGTCTTTACTTTGGCAGAGATGTTCTGGGTCTGGGAGGTTTCTCTGAACTCTTCAGCCTGCTAAGGGAGAGCTCTCGCTTACCGGGGTCCAGCTCCAGAGTCTCTTTTTTGGTTGCAGGAATGATCGTAGCCCTCTCTCTGTTCTCTCCTGAATGTCTCCAGTGTTTGGGGAGCATGGTCACTCTGTCCTTGTGGCCCTGGAAGTACCTAGTGGGTCCCCAGTGGTAGCTGCTGTATTTGGTGGGCTGCTCCAGGGCTGAACAGCTGTCTGCAGGGCAGGGCAGGGCAGGGCAGGCAGAGAGCACCAGAAACCACAGGGTGTTGGCACCCAGGGAAATAATTACATGGTGTAACCCCACTGCCTTTATTGCCAGAGGCTGGCAGTTTCCTTCTTTCAAGCAACAGGTTTAATCTGCTGTAGGCTAAGAAACCTCTGGGAGCCTCTCTCCTTTTTGGAGTGTTGGGGTGCAGGAGCCCCGTGCACATAGAAGGTGCTCAAAGGCATTGCTCAGCCCTAATGAAAGTGGGTTTACTGGGGTGCTTGAGGTGTCTGGGCCAGGTCCTGGGGAGCTGGAGGAGTGGGAATGGGACTCCAAGTCGTGATATTGTCTTTCCCACCAGCCTAGAAGTCTTGTATTTTAACAGCTATTACCGCTACTCTGGTAGCGTAGTGGTTACAAATAGGGCTGCAAACCGCAAGGTCAGCAGTTTAAAACTACCAGCTGTTCTGCAGGAGAAAGATGAGGCTTTCTGCTCCTGTAAAGATTTACAGCCTTGGAACCCTTGTACTATGAGTTGGAACCCACTCCACGGCACTTAACAACAACCACCACCGCCGCTCTTTTCATGATTGTCGGGACACCTGCAGGCTCCTGAGAGCTGGTGCTTTTACTGAGCACTTGGGGTGCTTCACACCTTATCTCTTTAAAAAATCAGATGCACCAAGTGAATTCCTGTTCAGGGTGACCCTGTGTGTGTGTATCTGGGTAGAACAGTGCAGTAGTGGGTTTTCAGTGGCTAACTTCAGAAGTAGATTGCCATGCCCGTCTTCCAGGGTGCCTCTGGATGAGCCTTCCTATTAGCTGTAAAGCATCTCCCTTTGTTAGTAAATGTCGAGTTGGTTCCAACTCATAGTGACCCTGTATTGAGTTTTCAAGGAGCAGCTGGTGAGTTTGAACCGCCGACCTTGTGATTCAAACCAACCTTGCTGTCCAGTGCTTTATCCCACTGCACCATTTCAGGATGCTTTTGTTGTTGTTAAGTGTCATGGAGTCAATTCTGACTTTCAGAGAGACCTGCTATAGGGTTTCCAAGGAGTGACTGACTGGTGGGTTTGAACCGCTGACCCTGCAATTCAAACTATGAGTTTTTCACAGAAGAAAACTGAGTTCTAGAGCTAAAAAGCAACTGGCAAAATGCTCTTAGCCACCATGTGTATCTCTCAAGCTTTTAGAGTGCTGTCCTAGCTCAGCCCATGCTGGGCCTTCTGTAAATGTTTGTAGAATGAATGAGTTACCCAGGGATTGCCCTGTGTGCTTTGAGTCTGAAAGAAATTAGGTGGCATCACACTTAATAGAAGCCAGGCCAAAGATTTCAAAGGAAAAGGTTCTGGGCGCTGTTCTTCCATACCCTCCATGTTGAATTGTAGTCAGGACAGGCAGGGGGTTTGCTGAAAGGAGGCATGGAGGGGCCTGTAGTGGGTTCCAAGGATGGGTGTGTGGCCTTCCCTCTGCCTCTTGGAAACATTCCTGACATTCCTGACGATCAGCCTGCCCTTGCTTTCAGGATATGGATTAACATCCAGGGCAGAGGTTTGATTGCACCATGCCATGGTGTGGCGCTCTGGATTAATACACTGGACTGCAAAGTCAGTTTGAACTGTCAGTGGTTCAAGCTCACTAGATACTCCTTGGAAACCCTATACAGGGTTGCTATGAGTTGGAACTGACTAAACTGCACACAACAACATCTTCTTCCCTGGAGTCCTGGTGTGGTGCTGTAGGATAAGCACTAGATTGCTAATTGCAAGGTTGGCAGTTCAAACCCACCAGCCACTCCTCGGAAACCCTATACAGTGTCGCTATGAGTTAGAACTGACTCACATTAACAACACTTCCTTCATATTGCCTAAGCCCCTAAAACTACTGGGAGTTTAAAGTTGTTAAGTGCTCAAGTTGGTTCCAACTCACAGCGATCCTTTATAGGGTTTTCCAGGTTATAAATCTTTGAGGGAGCAGAAAGCTTTAATTTTGAAAGTCGTTGTTAAATACTGTCCATAAGCCAGTTCCAAATCTGACACCAGGTATCACCTCTGTTCACCAGTTCTACAACTGTTTGACCTTCATTGTGATCGAAAGCTTCTGTCTATCCATTCGGTCACCCAATGAGTTGTAGAGGAAGTCCCTCACCTAGTAGGCACTATGGTGTTCCCTCTTACTAAATAAATTGAATCACAAGAAGGTAGTCTGCTGGGATCTGAGGATTTGGAATTGAATTTATTTTTGATAAATTATGGTAGCGTAGTAGTTACGAATTGGGCTGTGAACAACAAGGTCAGCAGTTCGAAACTACTAGCTGTTCCGCGGGAGAAAGATGAGGCTTTCTGCTCCTGTAAAGATTTATAGCCTCAGAAACCCTGTACAGGGTTGCTATGAGTCGGAACCAAATCCATGGCACATGACAACAACAACAACACTTTGTCCTGCTACCCTCCATCTTGCTGTTAAGTGCTGTCGAGTTGGTTCCAACTCATAGCGACCCTGTATAAGGTTTCCAGGAGAGGCTGGTGAATTTGAACTGCTGACCTTGCGGCTCAAACTGACCTTGCAGTCCAGTGCATTAGCCCACAGAGCCACACCAGGCCTCCATTACCACACTTAGTAGTCTTTATAAACTGACCAAAGCACATAGTCAAAGAGCAATAGATTCTATTTGCCCATCTTTCCCCTCTGGGCTATTTCATTCTGATTACCGTCTTAATATGAGCGGACTTCAAAAAGTTTGTGGAAAAGTGGAATGAAAAGATAATGGAATTTTTCTACAAAGTTTTTGAAGTCCCCTCATGTTTCATTGCTCAAGACTTTTCATAGAATTGTGTAAGACTCATTGACTTGTAGAGCAGGAAGGGGCTTTAGAAACCCCTTAGTTTTAATTTTACAATAGGAAACACTGAGGGTCAGGGAGAAGTTTGCTGGCTCAGTACAAGGCCAAGATTGAAGCGTTTACAGTTAGAGAGTTTAGCATCCCTTCTAGTCCCTGAGAGCGATGCAAAAGCTAACATGGCACCATGCCTACCAGGAAGGGAGACTGAGGCTGAAGCTTTAAGTAATCAATCAGATTTTGGAGTCCTGGTGTGACGCTGTGGTAGGTTAATGTGCTAGACTGTAAAGTCGGTTTGAACCACAAAACTGGCAGTTCAAGCTCACCAGCTGCTCCTCAGAAACCCTATACAGGATGGTTATGGGTTGGAACCAACTCGACGGCACTTAACAACAACAAGCCCCATCAGGATAGTTTAGGGGTTACAACTGGATTCCATTGCTTCTAGTCTAGTTTTCCCTTGTGCCACTGGAAATTTGGTGGACCATGTCCCTAGACATGGCCTAGAAATTTGATGGACTATATAGAAAAGCATAAATTATAATTGGTCAACAGATCAAGTTAATTGAAATATTTTAAACCCTGGGATTAGGACATCCATTTAGGTGGTGAGCCTGTTGCCCCGGAGGCAGTTCTGAAAGCCTTCCTCACGGAAAGTTACCATTTTAAGAGGCATTTTAAAGATGGGAGGGAGAAAGTATGGTCAACTGTGAGTGAGAGGAGGGGGTGGGCATGATGCTAGTGTGTGTATATGCTTGTTGATCACTCTCACTTTAGTATCATATCTGAATGCTACTGAGTGGAGTCCTGGTGTGGTGCTGTGGGCTAATGCGCCAGGCTGCAAAGCTGTTTGAACTGCAAGGTCAGTGGTTCAAACTCACCAGCTGCTCCTTGCTATGCGGCGGAACCAACTCGACTGCACTTAACAACAACAACATTGAGTCAGTTCTGACTCATAGTGACTCGATATCGGGTTTCCGAGGGTGACTAGTAGGTTTGAACAACAGTCTAATGCTTATCCTACGGAGCCTAGTATCTTTAGGATACATCTATTATTATACTTTAAGTGCTCACTCCAAGCCCTTTGCTAAGCTCTTTATAAGTATCTAACACCACCCTCGACTACCTGTGAGTAGACATTAGCCTTGTTTAACAAAGGAAGAAACAAGGCCTCAAAGTTAAATATTCAGGGTTTGTAAGTGGAGCATAGGTTTAAGCCCATATCTGTAAGCAGTTACACTATTATCCTGCTGTAATATGTTTGCACATGTGTCTCCCTTAATAAACAGTGACCATCTTGAGGCCAGCCATTTAGTTTGATTATTGCTGTGTTCCCAGCATCTGGGACAAAGTCCAGGGAGAAATAGGCAATAGGTTCCAATTAAATAGTTGTTAAATGAACTAACAGTATTGTATTTAATGTTGTTTTCTCAGTGCTTACTGAAAAAGTGAACGAGTGAGAAAACTAAGCTAATGAAGACAGCAGTGAGACAAAGCAATTATAAATTTTAAGAAATTTTGTTACCCACGTCCTTAGAGCTTCCATATTCTTATATGTAGCAGCATTGGTGAATGATTTTACTCTCTAAGTGAGGTAGCGCCTGTCCCACATCTCCATTCCCCAGGAGTCACCAGAAGTCAAGGAAAGACTGGGACAAAAATGAGGAACTTCAAGGTTCCCTGTTGTTGTTAAGTGCCATTGAGTTGGTTCTGACTCATACGACCCTGTGTAGGGTTCCAACTACCTACCTTATAGTTAGTAGTCCAGTGCTTATCTTGTAGTGCCACACCAGGCTACAAGGCCTTAAAGTATCTGGAGCTTTCTCTAACGCTATTCTCTCTTTAATTTCAGGAGTCGAAAAATTCAGATCAGAAATATTCCACCCCAGCTCCGATGGGAGGTAAGTGTTTGGGGGAACTAATGAGGGTGGAGAGCGGGGAGTGGAGACTGAAAGGATCAATCTGAGTTGGCAGAGATGATGTGGGAGATCTCTCCGGTCTCCCAGTGGTCTGGACCAGGCAGAGATGTTGGTGCTGACGTGTCATTGATTGGGTCTCATCCTTTATCCAGGATGTCACTGTTCGTAGTCCTTAGTTCTATCCATCTGATGAGAGGCACTAGGGATGCAGGAAGAGCTTTCCTGAGTTCTAAACTTGGTGATGGCACAGTTGATTTAAGGACCTGGACCTAAATGGTCCTAGTCTCCTTTTGAAAAAGGCCCTTACCGAAGAGTTCACTATGTTCTTGCAAAGACACCCTTGACTTATGTTGTTATCAGCATTAGCATCCAGAAAGGACAGACCGAGCGGGTTGATGCCCAAGCTAAGGCTTGCCTGTGCCCCAGTGCTCTGCAGTGAAAGGGGCTCTATGGCTGGCTTTGTGGCTGCTCCTGGGGTGCTCAGAGTACCCTTCCAGCTGTCTCTGTGCTCTTCTAGGTACTGGACAGTCTTCTAGCACAATATGGCACAGTCGAGAACTGCGAGCAAGGTAAGAGATGGGGGTTCAGGTGGTGGGCCGGGTCGGGGAGGAGTTTAGGGATCTGCTCTGCTTCCCACTCCATCATCAAAACTAACTGGAAGACCCAGAAAAGAAAGTCAGGATGTGGAATGAAGGGATGGGGGACCTATCTAACTTCACTGCTCATCTCTGGCTGGTTTCTCGTCTGTATAATGAGAGGCTTGAGCCCAGTCACCTCCTCATTAAGAGAGCGTTGCCAGGCTCCTAGAGGTCAACCAAAGTAGAAATAGAAGCCCCAAGATCTTAGAAACAGCTTAAGATTGGAAATTGTACATTAAAGCCAACTAAGTCTCTGGCTCTTTTGCTTTAAAGCTTCATGTTTCTTAGTTTTTGGCTAGAGTCATCAGCTGCTTTGCTCTTTCCTGTTGGAAACGCCGACTGGCCCCTACATATATGACTTTGGTCAATTAAAAACAACAACGGGGAGAGTGTAATGTAATACAGTTTGGACAAGCAAAAACTTCGAAGAGTACATCCACAAAGGGGAAACAAAATGAAAGGAAGTCTAGGTCATGAAACGTTTTGCTATAATTTTTTATTTCTTCATCTTGCTAGAATTATAAATTCTTTTCAGAGGACGTAAATTTACTATGGAGTGATTTTGGTTGGACATAAGATAGAGCTTGGTCTTTGGGTAGACAAGATACTAGTTTGGGTTTCGAAATCTTCAAGAAATGAATAATTATCTTGACTGAGATTTAATTCCAAATTCTTTGTAGAAAGGGGCAAATTTGTAAATGATCATAGTTGATCAAAAGAAACCTGCTGCATCAGTCCTATCTATCCTGCTCGACTCCTGTAGCTTACCTGTTAGTGATACCCTAGCACAGGTGGTTCACGGATAGCCATACTGCAGCATTGTATACAGGGTAGACTAATGACTGAGCTACTGCTAGACAAAGAAAGGGTGAGATGCTGAGCTTCACTGGGAGCCCCAGCAGGAGTTTACACCAGCTCAGAGACACTCAGCAGGGAACTAGAACCAGTCCTATCTGAAGGTGGTGGGAAACGTCTGATTTTGTTGGCCATTAGTGAAAGTCTTCTTCAAGTTTGTTCATTGTTACTGTCTCAGAAATGTACAGGGTGCCCACTCTATTAAAATCTTCTGCCCCCTAATTGACTTTTCTCCACACACACTATCACCTTCCTGTGGTCTATATAATTCACTTATTTATTGTGTTCGTTGTTGTCTCCTACTAGAATGTAAGCTCCATTAAGGCAGGGGTTTTGTTGACTCCTTTGCTGTTGTATTTCCAGTGACAAGAATACTGATGAAAGTCAGGGGCCTTGAGCCAACAACTGCACTGAAGTCTTGTAGCCAAGTGCCTTTTCCTCAGTGCTGGAGGAGCAGAATCTTACTTCTGTGCCTGTGCTTCCCACCCCAGGGTTGATCAGGCCCCAAAACTCAAACACAAAACAAAACAAATACCCCACAAACAACAACCCATGCTGTCCAGACGATGCTGACTCCTAGTGACCCTATAGGGTTCTGAATAGAACTGCCCATAAAGTTTCCAAGGCTGAAATTTCTATAGGAGCAGACTGCCACATTTTACTCATCTGGGGCCACTGATGGGTTTGAGCTGCTGACCTTCTGTTAGCAGCCTAGTGCTTAACCCGCCATGTCACTAGGGCTCCAAAGATAGGAATTCCCAAGACTTTAATGCATAAGACAGAAAGATTAATGTCATTGATTTAGAGTGAAGTTCTAATGTTGGCTAGTCGACACATTCTTCTTTCTGTGTTGTTAAGTGCTATAAATGGTTCCAGCTCAGTGACCACATGTGGGGTTTCTGAGGCGTGGCTGTGGGTCTGAACCATTGACCTTGCAGTGAGCAGTCCAGTGCTTATCTTACAGCACCACACCAGGACCCCATTCCTCCTCCTTATAGGAAAGAGTGTGTGGGCATTCAAGGAAATCAAAAGACTGCTCATAATTACAGTCAGGGACTTTGGTGGAATTAATGGCTGGTATTAGGTGTGGCCTCCTGGTGTGGCACTGTGGGTTAATGCACTAGACTGGAAGATTGGTTTGAACCACAAGGTCGGTGGTTCAAGTTCACCAGTTGCTCCTGGGAAACCCTATGCAGGGTCACTATGAGTTGGAACCAACTCCATGGAGCTAAACAACAACAATTAGGTGTGGCGCTGTAGGATCAGTACTGGACTTCGAACCACAAGGTTGGCAGTTCAAACCCACCAACTGTTTCTTGGAAACCCTATACAGGGGCACTATGAGTGGGAACCGCCTTGACAACTCTTAACACCATTAAGAAATTATGGTGGTCCAGTGTGTTCCATCTCTGTGGCCGTGATGTTTGGAATACTTATATCAGGAACTCCTTTCCCCTGAAAAGGTATAGATATGATGATGCAGACATAATCCTTGAATAGGGTGGCCCCTCTCCCAGAGTCCAGTGAGTAAAGTATTGGACTGCAAACCACAGGGTTGCAAGTTCAAATCCAACAGTCGCTCTACTAGGGAAAGCCGAGGCAGTCTGCTCCAGTCTTAGAAACCCTAAGGAGTAGCTCTACTCTCAGAATCACTGTGAGTCGGAGTCAACCCAATGAGTAGTGGGCTTGGGTTTTTAGACTACATTTCCCTTATAAGCTCACATTTTCGGTCATGAGACACGACACTTTTCTTGGTTGTATTCTTGAATAATCCTCTAGAATAGATTTGGATTTTCCTTAGTCTCTTCAGCCATTTCTGTGCAAACTATTTCATGGAATGTTTGCTTCTAAGAATGGCTAATCTCAGCCAGTGTGTGTTGATTTTTAACTAGTTTAACTTTCCAAGGGTAAATTTTTTCCTGGCTAGGGAACAGAACTGCTGATATGGTGACCACAGCCTTTTGTACATCCAGATCTTCTGGGAACTGGGCAGGGAAATCCAAGGAAACCAAGAAAGAAAAATAAAAGAAGGCTTTAGACTTTTCCAGTAGCTTTGGTGAAAAAGGGGCCTAAAGGATAAATGTTTGGTCTTTTCTTTCAAGTATTTCATAACCTTCTCAGTCGTTTGACCATACAGTATAGAGGTTGGAGAGAAAAACTTTCAGACTCCTTGGGGAAGTTATAGTGGGGTCTCCAGTTGTCTGCTCTAACCCTGGCCTCTGTTTGTTTCCCAGTGAACACCGAGAGCGAGACAGCTGTGGTGAATGTCACCTATTCCAACCGCGAGCAGACCAGGCAGTGAGTGGGCCACAAAGTGGGGCTGAGGGTCCTGTGTTGGGTATTGGGAGGGGTCACAGTCTGGGCTCTGATAATGACCCAATCAACCCCCAGATTTCCTCATGAAAGATCCTTTCTGGGTGTGTGTCTTCTCCTTGTCTTTTGGGTCAGTGATTTCAAAGGCCCAGAAATTTGCTAGGAGGTTAACAAAATGCACTGAAGGGGGAGACTCAAAGACCTCTGGAGAAAAAAGGTTGGCTTCTAATTTGTCTCCCAGCGCCCTGGAACTGCAGGGTCCTTTGCTGTGTTGATGGCGCCATCTAGTGATGGTGAGGGGTAGCTGCGGGAATTAAAAAAGATTCACTCTCGATGGCTCAGCTGGAGAAAGATGAGGTTTTCTGCTTCCATAAAGATTTACAGAAACCCTATACAGAGCTGCTGTAAGTCTGGACACATAACCACCACCACCAATTGAGCCCTGTAGGGCAAACGCTGGACTACTAGCCACAAGGTTGACGGTTCCAACCCACTAGCTATCCTTAGAAACACTATTCAGGGTTGCCATGAGTTGGAGCTGACTCGATGACACCTAACAACAGTACCGTAGGGAGCAGACATTTTATTCCAGTGTCAACAGCGACGGATTTGCCAATACACAAGGTAAGCACAGGCTCACTTGTGCTTACTTATTAATTTCACTACATCATGTGGTGAAGTCAGCAAGCATAGAAAGCCCTTGGTTGAAGGGAGGATGCTGTGGGGTTGGGAGGGAGACAAATGCCAGCCAGATCTCAAAGCAGAAAAGATGTGGAACTGTTCACTAAAGATCGGTAAGTAAGCCTGTGCTTACCTTGCTTATTGGGCAATCTGACATTGTCCATTGATCATCATGCCTGTATTTTATGCTTGTGTAGATCCTCAGTGCTCCCTTAGCCACTATTCTAACCCCTGAGTGCCTTGGTTGAGCAATTACACCTCTCACCACTACTAGTTCAGAGACTCTTTTTGTTGTTGTTAAGTGCTGTTGAGTTGCTTCTGACTCATAGCGACCCTATATATAAGGTTTCTGAGGAGCAGCTGGAGGGTTTGAACTGCCGACCTTGTGGTACACAATCCAGTGCTGATCCTACAGCGCCACACCAGGAGCCCTACTTTTTTAACCATGCTGCCTCTATTCCTTCTGTTAGCTTCAATCTAGTGTTACGTTGTAAAATCCTACCACATCTTCAAATATTGCCTACCTTTTTCTTTTAGATACCACCAGAATTCAGAATTTTCTGGAGGTTTTTCCTGCCCCTTGTGGTCAATCTAGGCTTCTGTGTCTGACTTTAAAGACCATGTCAATACTTGTTCATTCATTCCCTATGACCTGCTGTTTTCTTGTTGACATCTTTAACCAGTGTTAGCCCTGGGGGAGTGATTGGTGCTTGTCCCCTCCCTCCAATCTCATTCAGCCTCCTTGTAGCCACCCCTGATAATACAGAAACTGCTGCCTCTTAAGTGGTTAGCAAGCCATTTGGCCTCTAACACCCACTTCTCCATGGAGTGTCCTTAACCATTGAAGGCATAAAAACAACTAATCCCGTAATTTCTCAAATTCTTTCATAGTTCTGTTTTATTTGAGTTTCCCATGGATCCTGTAAGATAAGCGTTTTTTTCTTTTTTGTAAAAATTGACATGAGGATCCTAAAATTCATTGGAAATGCAAGGGATGCAGAGCAGCAAAACAGTCTTGAAAAAGAACAAGAAAGAGTATTTATACTTCCTGATTTCAAAACTTGCTTCAAAGCTAAAGTAATCAAGAGAGCACAGTACTGGTATAAAGATGATCACAGAACTGGGAGTCCAGAAAGAAGCGTTAATATTTCTACATTTGCAATATATTGATTTTTGACAAAAATATTTTAAAAATTCAGTGGGGCAGAGAAGCAGTGAAACCAGATATGAAGGTAGAGATAAGGACATGGAGAGAGAGCAGCTGAGGACTCTAGATTCATGGAAAGAGAAAGGCTGTGTGCTTGCAGCCAGGAGGCAGACTTGTAAAATGTGCCCTTTGGTTGTTTAAATGATTATATATTCACGAGTGTTTTTTTGTACATTGAAGAAAAAAAGAGAAAGAAACAGAGGGAATGGAAGCACATACTGTTGAATGATGATGCACGGAGGGAGATTATAATCATTGCAATGAAATGATGAGTGTAAAACCGATGTTCTCCCATGTAAATTAAAATAAAAAAAAAAAAGTTCAGTGGGAAAGGATCTTTTAATAAATGGTACTGGAGCAATTTGATATCCATATGCAATGAATTTGGATCCTTACTCTACACAGTACACAAAAAATAGCCCAAAGTAGACCAAAGACTTAAATGCAGGAGCCATCCAATAAGCAGGGCAGGTGTCAATTTCTTTCTTTCATTTCCATGAAACTTGGATCTAGACTAGGAGTGGTTGTGAACAGCCCAGTTCACATATCTGTGAGCAGTGGAACAAAGATTAGAATATTGGTGTCTTACCTCAACTGAGTACCTTTGGTCCATGTTTCATCGGGGTATGCTAGGGGAGGGTTGATACTTGACATTTATTCATCCTTCTTTGAACTTGGTTTCATTATCTGTAATATTGTGAATTTGCAGTAGTAAGTGCTCTGTGTGCTCACCCTTATGTTTTTATTTTTCTAAAACTTTTTATTGTGAATTGAGTGAAGGTTTATGGAGCAGATCATCAGCTTGCCATTCAACAATTACTTTGCTTCATTACATGGTTGCAATCCCCTCCATGTGCCAACAGTTAACAGCGTTTACCTTTATTCACTTTAACAGTTGAATTCCTCCCTGTGTCTTCAGCTACCTTCATCTTTCTACAGCTAACTTCCCTCTTGTTGTATACTGCCTGCTCTGTCATCCATGTTAACATGTGTCTATGCTCTAACTCATGAATAATTTGCCACCTCCAACCATCATAGATTGTTTCTTGTATCATGAAAACTTTTTTTAAAAAAAAAAAAAACTTTTTACGACGTTCGTCTCATACAATGTTTGTCCTTTTGTGATTGACTAATTTCATTCACCACAATGTCCTCCACATTCAACCATGTTGTGAGGTCTTTCACAATTCATCATTATTTTTCAAGGTTTTAGCAGTATTCCATTGTGTACCAGTTTGCTTAACTCTTCTTCTGTTGATGGGCATGTAAGGCTATCCCCTTTTTGTTATGTCCCTTGTAGCCAGCATATTGAAGGATCCTGTTTTCTTATCATCCATTCTGCTCTCTATGTCTCTTCACTGGAACATTTAATCCATTTACATTCAGCATAAATATCAATAGTTATGAATTGATTGTTAACATTTTTCTGTGTTTTTTTGTGTGATGTTGCTGGATTCTGTGTTCCACATAATTTTATATGTTGAGTTCATTTTGTTTGTGGGGTTTCTTGTCATTTCACTTCTGTTGTGTTAAGGTGTTTTTTTTTCATACGCAGGTGTATTATTTTTTCTTTGAGGTTAGCCTGTAATTTATTAATTTTTTCCCTGCTTGAAACAGTCTGTTTTGAAATCTATTTGACTTTCTTGCCATTTGGAAGTTCCCTACACAATCCCTTTTTTTTATACACTACACTATTTCCTGATATGTCTAGTTCGGTATTTTTAGTCTTAATAGGTTTGTTTTACTTTGCTGTTGTTGTTGTTAAGTGCTGTTGAGTCAGTTCCAACTCATCGCGACCCTGTATAGGGTTTCCATGGAGTGGCTGGTGAGTTTGAACCACCGAACTTGTTGTGGCTCAAAGCAGCCTTGCTGTCTAGTGCTTTATCCCATAGAGCCATACAAGGATTCCATGTTTTCCTTTAAATTCTTCTATATCTGGATTGATTTCTCTATGGTGTGATCATGTATGGTAATCTTAGGTTATTATCTACTGTTGTTGATGCTCAGACCAAAGAACATCCTTTTAGAATGTTTTGTAAAGTAGATCTGGTCATTACAAATTGCTTTAATTTCTGTTTATCAGAAAATGTGCTAATTTTGCCCATGTATTTCTAGGGTAACTTTGCTGGGTATATAATTCTTAGTTGGCAACTTTTATCTTTAAGAGTTGTGTATAGATCATCCCATTCATTGCCTTCTTGCCTGCATGGTTTTTGCTAAGAAATCAGAGCTTAGTCTTATTGGTTCACCTTTGTAGGTAACTTCTCATTTTTCCCAAGCTGCACCCAGGATTCTTTCCTTGTCTTTGATTTTGGAAAGTTTGATTGTGATAGGTCTTGGTGATTTTCTTTTGGGGTCTTCCTATTTGGGTTTCATCATCTTCTTATATGCTGATCTTCTCGTTTTTCATGATGTTAGGGAAGTTTTCTTCAGTAACTCTTCAAGTTTTCTCTGTGCTTTTTAGTGTCTCTTCAAGTTGTGGAATTCCAATCAGCTGCACGTTATCCCCCTTCATGATGTCCCACATAACTCTTAGGCTTTCTTTAGATTTCGTCATTCTTTTTTCTGATTGTTGTAGCATACTAATTTGAGAGATTTATCTCCAAGGTCACTAATTTGAGCTTTCATTGTTTCGCACCTACTCTTTTGCTCTTTCAATGTGTTGTCCATTTCTGAGCTCTTAGTATTAATCTTCTGGATTTCTAGTTGCAGATTTTATATTGCTTCAAATCTTACATTTGTTTTGTCTGTTTATTCTTGTAGCGTTTCCCTGAATTCTTTTAATTTTTATTGTTTTCCTTGATCTTTCTACTGATCCTTTGAAGGTACATAATTATCATTCTTTTGAATTTTTTTCTGTTAGTTCCATTACTTTTCTTCCTCAGAAATGTGTTCTGGCTAAGTCTTGATCATTTGTTTGAGCCAGTCTCTCTTGTTTCTTTGTGTGAGCTAAAATCATCTCTTGCCTCTGGGGCATTGTGGGGTTGTCATATTTGTAAAAACAAACAGTGAAGTTGTTTGATCCGGAGGGAGAAATCTGTGGTGGGCTCCTACAATTCCAAGAGCTCACAAGGTGGTTGTGGAACTGATGTGACAGCAAACTTCCCAGCTCTAGATGGAGTTCCTTTTATCTGTGTTCTGGACACTCAGTCAGGAAGTAGTTTGTGGGGGCCCTTGATATGGAGCTGTTCCAGTGTCTGTCAGGACCACAGGGAAGCTGGGGACAGCGAGACAGGTTCAATGCTGGCCTGGTGGCTCAGGGAGTTTTATAAGTCTGGAGCTGAGTACACGTGAATCCAGACACCAAAGTGGTGCAGCTGGCCCCCATCTCACACTGGTGTGGCTCCGAACTCCCATAGAACAGGGTCTGCACTGGGGGTGGATGAGGGTGGGAGCTGGCCACCCTTCTGGCCATCAGGAGAGCACGGGGAAAAAGAAGAAACCACACTTTGCCCATCGCCCATGCAAATCTGCTTTGCCAGGCATTCCCTCTGCTGCCAAATCTGCTCCCAAGATGGTTGACCCATGTGTGGTCAGCAGTTCACCAGTCGGTCTCCCTTTCTTACCATTGCTGCTCGGCCTCGCCTCCCAGCAAGCACTCCATCCACCTCTCTAGCCTTTCTTAAGTTCAGGGTACCAGAATCTTCATCTGTGTCTGTTGTATTTTGTCTCTTGTATGTCTGTTGTAGAGCGTCTGTGTCTTGTGTCTCTCACCCTTTGTTAAGATTCCCCAATCCAGAAAGTCTGCGTGACTACTTGGTCGAGCTGATACAAGTGTGTAGCATGTTCTCTAGTTTAGACGTGGGTGATCTCTGAGATTGAGCCTTGGGGCTTCCTTTTTAGACAGAGGACCCCTATGGTCCTGGTTGGATCTGAAACTCACTTCTTTCATAGTCTGTGTGGAAGCTTTAGTGAACGCTAAACCCCCAGTAATGTATGTACAAGGGCAAGTCAAAAATTATCCAGGCTCTGGCTCTATTAAAATGTCCATCCTAAAATGCCCATCCATATCCATAGCTGATGCAACATTGAATGTGTACATGGAATGATTCTGTCGAATAGATGAGTGACAGTGGTTTACGTGGCAAATCATTTGCAAATCAACCATGGCTCTGCCTATGAAGTAATCTGTGAGAGACTTGAGTTTCGAAGAGTTTGTGTGAAACAACTCACGGAAGAGCGTAAACAGGAGTGTTTGGACACCTGCAAACAAAACTTAAACCAGTACTCAAAAAAAGGTAAAAAGTTCTTTAAAAAAAATCATTAGTGGCGACGAGACATGATTCATCACTACGACTCACTAAGAGTAAATGACAGAGCATGGAATGGAGACAACCTCAGTACCAACCAAGAAGTTCAAAAGTGAACCATCAGCAGCAAAATTGATACTTCCAGTTTCCTGGGATTCTCAAGAGCCAGTATTAGAACACTGTAAGGAAAAAGTCCAGCAATCAACAGTGCTCATTACAGTGAGATGCTCATTGAGGAGCTGAAACCTCAACTTGGGATTAAATACAGAGGACTGCTATCCAAGGAGTCCTGGTGTGGCGCTGTGGGCTAATGTGTCAGACTGCAAAGCCGTTTGAACTGCAAGGTCGGTGGTTCAAGTTCACCAGCTGCTCCTCGGAAACCCTATACAGGGTCGCTATGGGTCGGAACCAACTCGATGACACTTAACAACAACAACACTGCTATCCAAAGGCATTGTGATCTTGCATGATAATGCACATGCCCATAACTTCTGCCCACACCGTTGACACTGCAAAAACTCATTTTGAGGTGTTAACGCATTCTCGCTGTAGTCCTGATCTTGTCCCATCGTACTTTCACCTCTTTGGTCCTTCAAGGGTGAAGATTCATCTCTGGTGAAGTGAAGACAGTGGTTCATTTGTGGCCCGCAGCTCAGCCTAAAATGTTTTAAAGTAAGGGAATATGAAAGCTTGTTGACAGATGGACAAAGTGTAGTGTGAAAGCAAGGAGATCATGTCAAAAAATGATGTATTTGTCTTTTCTAAAAGTTGGTTAAAGTAAATTCTGTAGCCAGAATGCAGATAAGTTTTGACTCACCCTTGTAGATTTCCCCTTGATATTCTGTCTATGCCAACTGGAAAGATCCCTGAGATGGCAAGGGGCGTGGTGGGCAGATGATGATCTCCCTTTCTTTGTGTTCCACACTTTACCCCAGTTGAATGCTGTGCACACTGAAGGCATTTTGTGTGATTGGAATGGATTAGTGTGATCTGTATACCCTTCCTCTGTTCCCAGGGCCATCATGAAGCTGAACGGCCACCAGCTGGAGAACCATGCCCTGAAGGTCTCCTATATCCCTGACGACCAGATCACACAAGGCCCTGAGAATGGGCGCCGAGGAGGCTTTGGCTCCCGGGGTCAGCCCCGCCAGGGTTCTCCTGTGGCAGCCGGAGCTCCAGCCAAGCAGCAGCAGGTGGACATCCCCCTGCGTCTCCTGGTGCCCACCCAGTATGTGGGTGCTATCATTGGCAAGGAGGGTGCCACTATCCGCAACATCACAAAACAGACCCAGTCCAAGTGAGTCTTTCCTGTTGGGGAATGGAGGAACTGGGTGCTGGGAGGATACCGAGGGCATCAACATTCACCTTTTAGGGACTGTTACCTGCATCTTGTTCCCTTCCCTTCTTATTCAGGGGTTACTGCTTCCAATCCTGCCTGCCTCGGGAGGGGCAGGCAGATGGGAGGTAGAATGGGCTTGGAGTGCACCGTTTGGTTGCATTGGCTGGGTCAGGTACTCTCATTAGCAAAAAGGGTTCTGTCATTTCCCAGTCTTGTCAAATAAGCCGTCTAGGTGAGTCAGCCCCTCCCCAGTGCTCTGTGATATCATGACTGCTGCTTGGTGGCAACAGGACTGGCCAACTACCCAATTTTTCTAATCCATTAAACTGAGAAGTTTAATGGATTAGTGTAATTGATCAGTATAACCCATCGGTGTAGTGAAAAAGAATAGGCCACATACACAAGAAGGAGCTCTGCTAGCGTAGTGGTTCTGAATTGGGCTGCAAACCACAAGGTCAGCAATTTGAAACTACCAGCTGTTCCGCAGGAAAAAGATGAGGCTTTCTGCTCCTGTAAAGATTTATAGCCTCGGAAACTCTGTACAGGGTCGCCATGAGTTGAGACTGATTCCCGGCATATAACAACAACAGCATACACAAGGGGACTTCAAAAAGTTTGTTAAAAAATGGAACTAAAAGATACTAGAATTTTTCCGTGAACTTTTTGAAGCCCCTTTGTATGGCCTTAATTTATAATAAATCCTTTTCTTTTCACTTTTTGTTTGGGATGGTATGTCATCCTTCCCTTTACATTTTTTCAATGAGAACATAGTAGATACATGGGGAGCTGCAGCTCTGGAGCTGTGGCCTGGTACCCCACTCCTGCATTCAGGAAGTAGCCAGGGGACTAAATGCTCGCCCCCCAACCACCTCCTGCTTGAGAAATTTCAGCTCTGAGACAGATTACAGAATAGCAGACTGGGTCCAAGTTCCCTGGCCTTTTCTCTGGCTTCCTGATTCTACACTTAAAGGCCTTGTTCCAAGAAAAGCAGATTCTTCCATTAAGGAGAGGTAAGGGAATCAGAAAACCTGACTGAGTTCCATTGGGGATCACTGATCAGCCTTTTTCCTGTGGTCCTTAGGATAGATGTGCACAGGAAGGAGAATGCAGGGGCAGCGGAGAAGGCCATCAGCGTCCATTCGACCCCTGAGGGCTGCTCCTCTGCCTGTAAGATGATCTTGGAGATAATGCATAAGGAGGCAAAGGACACTAAAACGTAAGACTTCGGCTGTTCTTGGGACTTTGAGGACTGCAAAGTTTCCCCTTCCACATTGAATAGCAATGATGCAGAGATATAATCAAGAGTTATACAAAAGGATACATATTGAAAAAAGGTCCTCTTTACCCCCATATGTAACACCTTGTATACCTAACACTTGTATACCTAAAACTCCTGGACAAGCCTGTGGATGTATGTGTGCATGCATACATGTGAGTACATGTGTGCTGTGCCATGTGCATATGTGTGTGGGTGTGTACATTTAAATTTTAGTCCAAATAAGGAGTGCATTCAATGAACATGGTGTTTTTGCCTCTGCCTTTTCACTTTACTTTGTGTACTAGTGCACAATGACATGACTTAGTCTTTTTATAGCTGCATGCAGTTCCATAGAATGGCTATCCATAGTTAATTTTTCCTTACTAGGAAACCAAAGCTGCAAGGCATCTACTCACACACATATGTTCTTTTGCACACTTGTACTTTTTATTTATTTATTTTTTTAATAGTTTTATTGGGTTATAATTGACAGGCAGTGAACTGCATGTATTTTTAATGTGTAAATGTTTGATATTTTAGAAATTGTATTTCATCCATCTTGTTGAGAATATGCACAGCAGAACATACTCCAGGTCAACAGTTTGTACATGTAAAATTCAGTGACATTGATTCTATTCTTCAAGTTGTGTCACGGTTCTCTACCTCCTTTTTTGAATGGTGTTCCCTCCATTAACATAAACTCCCTCCCTGTAAGTTTCATATCTCATCTTTTTTTTTAAATTTTTTTTTAACTTTTCACTGTGAATTGAGTGGTTTACAGAGCAGCAGATCATCACTTTTACATTCAGCAAATCGTATCTTTGTTTCATTATAATGATTGTAATCCCCTCCATGTACCTACCATCAGTTAACAGTATTTATCTCTGTTCACTTTAACTCACTTTAACTACAGCCTTCATCTTTCTTTCCTCTGCCAACCTCCCTTTTGTATATTGCATTCCCTATCACTCAAGTTAACAGGTGTCTACTCTCTAACCAGAGTCCTGATGTGGCACTGTAGGATAAGCACTAGACTGCTAACCACAAGGTCGGCAGTTCAAACCCACCAGGCAATCCTCGGAAACCCTGTACAGGCAGGGTTGCTATGATTTAGAATTGACTCAATGGCACTTAACAACAACAATCACCCCCTAGCCATTGAATTACTCTGGTAATTCCCTCCCACCCTGGTAACCATCAAAGAAAGTTTCTTTTAGTTGAAACCCTAATGCATTGCTGTTGTTAATTTGATTCCATAGGGAGAGTTCTTAGAGAGCACACAGACTTTACTTATTAAACTTTGGTTTGGTTTAAAGGAAACATTAGGGGATATTTTTGGTTTCAAGTTGAAAGATTATCTCAGGGCAATAACTTTGGGGGTCTATCCAGCCTCTGTGGCTCTAGAAGTCTGGATTCCATGAATATTTGAAATTCTGGTCTGCATTTCCCCCTTTCCATCAGGAGGCTTCTGTAGGATCTTCCACGAGAACCTTCAGTCATGGAGCCTGGCACCTGTTAACATTTCAGATGTGTGTATACCTGCAAACCCATCACCATTAAGATAACATTTAAGATCCATTACCCTCGATGGCTTCTGATCTTGGAAACTAAGCAGGGTTGGGCCCCGCTACGACTTGGATGAGAGACTGCCTGAGAAACCTAGGGGCGATAGGAGTCAGTTTGGAGTCCTGGTGTGGCCCTGTGGGTTAATGTGCCAGACTGTAAAACTGTTTGAACTGCAAGGTTGGCGGTTCAAGCTGACTAACTATTCCTCAGAAACCCTATACAGGGTCACTATGGGTTGGAATCAATTCAATGGCACTTAACAACAACAACAACAACCCTCACAGTGTGGGCAATGTAATTGTTAATGTCACTGAATTTACATTTAAAAATGTTGAAATGGTGAATGCTTTATTACATATTTGTGTACTTTTTTTTTTCACTATAATTTAAAAATACGATTACTTTCGAAAGCTTCCTTATGCTTCTTTGTAAATTAATTCACACTCCTTTCCCACCTTTCTATTCCTAAGCAACCACTCGTTTCAAGTTTTGTAATCTTTTTAACAGTTACTTTTGTCTTGTGGCTTGTCCTGGAAACACCAAGTCTGGGGTGTCATGAGAGTTGAGTCTCAATGTTGTCCTTCCATTTAAGGAGCTCATGTCCCCTCATTTCTTTTCCTCTCTTCTTAAGGGCTGATGAGGTTCCCCTGAAGATTCTGGCCCATAATAACTTTGTGGGGCGTCTGATTGGCAAGGAAGGCCGTAACCTGAAGAAAGTAGAACAGGACACAGAGACAAAAATCACCATCTCCTCGTAAGACTTACTGTGTTTCCCTGGGTGTGAGTGGGATGCGTTCAGACCAGTGGGCCGGGGGTGGCAGGACTTCACCACTGAGCCTTAATGCTTTCTCCTTTAAATTGAATGCCGTTTCTGCCTCCTGAAGGAGAGTAATCCAAGAAATGGCAAAGGTCATTTTCCCTCTGGATGGTGGAGCTGGAGCAGGCCCATCATTGTTTCTCTATGTAGTAAAGGCAGTTGTTAGGGCACTGCTTGTTGGAAGCCTCTCCATCATAACTCTCTTCCTCTGGACCTCAGTGAAAGAGCTTGTAGCTAAAAGCAGGGGTTTTAGGGCTTTGGGGCTTTAGGCCTCTCTGCCACCATGGGAAGTGGCCCTTTGAGAATTAGGAGAAAAGACATGGAGAATTTGGTTCTTGAGTGAGAAGTATGTATGCTTCCAGCTGTCTGGTGGGTTGCCTCTTTGGGAAGAATGGAATTTAACGGAGTGAGTTAGCACCTTTGCTTCTTCATTTTAACAGAGACTTACCTGTGGGCAAAGTAATTTGCTCTCTGGTCAGAAATGGCAGTGAAATTGGGTTGCCTAGGGCCATTGGGGAAACTTCAGTCCTGAATCTTCTTCCTACTTGACCAGGGATGAAAACTTATAATTGGTTCATTGGAAATAAAGGGCTTTAGGTTAGGTTTTCTTATCTCTCTGCACCTTCCCTCCTGCCCCAGTTACAAACTGGGAACCCAAAGACCAGAGACAAGAGTGCTATTTGTCAGAAGTTAAACAATTTCCAAATGGAGTTGTGCCTCAGTGAGCCACTGGTCCTCATCCTCAGTCAGGAAAAGGCTGACCGCTCTTCTTCCTCCAGGTTGCAGGACCTCACCCTATACAATCCTGAGAGGACCATCACTGTGAAGGGGTCTATTGAGAACTGTTGCCGGGCTGAGCAGGAAATCATGAAGAAAGTCCGGGAGGCCTATGAAAATGATGTGGCTGCCATGAGTGTGAGTGCTGGGTGGGTGGGGCTGCAGAGATGACACCCCACTCACTTTTCCCTGAGTCTGAGGGCTTAAGGTTGTCCTTCAGTTTGAGGGCTGATGGCTTCCACTTTTACAGTGTGATGTCATGCATGCCATGGAGCTCTGTGACCTTGGAAAACCTACTGATGTGAATGATCTTCATTATTTACAGATTCTGTATTTACAAGTTTGCCTACCTGCTACACATATTGGTACACGCAGAATAAATGTGTAGGTTGCTGTCATAGTTGATCACAGGACAAAAAAATGTTTGTTCTTAATCCAGTGAGATTATCACATCACTCACAATTCCACACCCGAAGTGTGCATGTGAGTATGTGCGAAAACCACAAGTTCAGGTAGAATTTTGTGCAAAAGCACATGATTCTCCTGCTTTTGGCTGACTCACCCTGAGGGTACTTGCCCTCTTGGTTCATTCAGGCTCTGCCAGATGAACTGACCTGCTCTTCCTCCTCACCTTCCTCAGCTGCAGTCTCATCTGATCCCCGGCCTGAACCTGGCTGCTGTGGGCCTGTTCCCAGCCTCGTCCAGTGCGGTCCCACCCCCTCCCAGCAGTGTCACTGGAGCAGCCCCCTACAGCTCCTTTATGGTAGGTGGAAGGTCTTATTACAGGGGGGGACCCCTAGGCCTATGTGTGGCCTGCCTTAGCATGTCCAACTCCTTGTGGGAGTCTGATGCATGGGAAGTTTACAGGGACAAGGGAAGAGGAGGCTTCGGCCTGAGAGGGCACCCCTCCTTGCCATGCTCCTCCCAGCTGCTGGGACACTGACGGCACTCTTACTTTTCCTTTTCCCTTGCTCTTGCCTTTTCCTTCCCTTTAGCCCTCGTGGGCATAGGTAGAGCTAGAGAGCTTGCAATGGCCTTTGCCAGTACAGGTCGGCTCCTGTACCCCTTCCTCCTCGAAAATGCAAGGCAGAGGAGTGAGGGGCTCTCAGACTCTGCCCACCAGCTAACACCCCTGTCTTGGCAGCAGGCTCCAGAGCAGGAGATGGTGCAGGTGTTCATTCCAGCCCAGGCAGTGGGAGCCATCATTGGGAAGAAGGGGCAGCACATCAAACAACTCTCCCGGTTCGCCAGTGCCTCCATCAAGGTGATCTGCTCCGTGGCCTCAGTTCCTCAGATGAGAGAGTGCTATTTTCTCTCATCCTCTGCTTGTTCCCATGATCCCCACCCTCTTTTGAGAATTTCAGGGGGATTTTTGTTGTTTTTCACATTTTACTGTCAATTGAGTGAAGGTTTACAGACAAGATCATCAGCTTTACATTCAACAAATTACACACTTTGTTTCATTTCAATGATTACAATCCCCTCCCTGCAACAGTTATCCTGCTTCCACCCAGTGCTTCCTCATTTAGCACATACAAAAAAACCCCCGAAACACACACACACACACACACACGTATAACTTAGGTTGTGGTGCTCTAGGATCAGCACGAACCACAAGGTAAGCTGTTCAAACTCCATGGAAATCCAGGGGTATTTTTGTCTGATGTTTGGGACTGTTCCTCCTGGGGAGCCAGAGACCCCTTTGCTCTTGACCCGGCTTGCTCCTGGTAACGTGCCTTCACTGCTTTGGGTCTTGTATTTTTAGGATGGAAAGAAGACAGTGATGTGGGTTCTTAGGTCCTGCCACAGACTGAATTGGGTTTGTGTCCCAGCCCCACGCTTTTGCATACTGCGCACCCATCCCATTAGCTCTGTGACCCGAACCTCACTTGACAATGATGCAGCTAAAATAAGTGCCTGGAGCACAGGAGTTGCTAAGTAAATGTTAGTTGTCTTTTCATCTTCTCTGGTTGGAGTCCAGGGAAGATGAAAAGTCTGAAATTCACAAATGGTCCTCCATTTGTTTTGTTGTTGTTGTTAAGTACCGTGGAGTCGGTTCCAACTCATAGTGACCCTGCACAGGGTTTCCGAGACTGGATATATTTATGGGAGCAGAAAGCCTCGTCTTTGTCCCGCAGAACAGCTGGTAGTTTCGAACTGCCGGCCTTGAGGTTAGCAATCCGATTCGTAACCATGCTACCAGAGCACCTTCCATTTGTTTTAGTGGCCTTTAAATTTTGGGGGCAAAAGCACTGGTGTTCACCAGTGAAGGTGTAGTCACCAGCTTTCTAACTTTGTCGGCCACCTCATCTGTGCTTTTACCTCTGTGCAGGTCCCCACTGAAAGCTCTGAGGGCTAGGGGAAGGAGAGTCAGTCCTTCCTCACCAACCCCCTGTGCTCTTAAACGTTTTTGTATGCAGGGCTGTCTTAGTTATCTAATGCAGCTACAGCAAAAATACCACAGGTGGGTGGTTTTAATAAACAGAAATTTATTTTATCATCATTTAGGAAGCTAGAAGTCTGAATTCAGGATGCTGCCTCCTAGGGGAAGACTTTCTCTCTCTCGGCTCTGAGGGAAGGTCCTTGTCTCTTTAGCTTCTACTTCCCGGTTCCTTGGAGATGTCCATGTGGGCTTGGCATCAACCTCTGCTTCTCTCCTTGTGCATTTAATAATCTCTTTTCCATCTCAAAAAAAAAAAATGCAGGACACATCTGACCCTAATTATGTTTCTTTCATTAAAAAAGACAACTCATTCCTCAATGGGATGATAATCACAGGCAAAGAGGCTAGGATCTACAACACATATTTTGGGGAAACATAACTCAGTATTCCCCCAAAATAACATCACAAGGGTGTTATTCCCTCCCCTGGGCCTCAGACATGGGTCATGGAAGTGAGTGAGGAGGGTGGTGGTGGAAGAGGTGGCCGAGGTGGAGGGGAGGGTCTCCTCATGGAGAGCACCTTTCTGACCAGCTCTTTGCTTTGTAGATCGCCCCTCCTGAAACTCCTGACTCCAAGGTTCGGATGGTCATCATCACAGGACCTCCAGAGGCTCAATTTAAGGTTCTGATATTTGTTTTCCAAGCTGGATACTTTGAGGGAGGGGGAGGAGTTTTGAAAAAGGCTGAGGCAACTTCCTTGTTGTTGTTATGTGCTGTGGAGTTGGTTCTGACTCATAGCGACCCTGTACAGGGTTTTTGAGGCTATAAATCTTTACAGGAGCAGAAAGCCTCATCTTTCTCCTGCAAAACAGCTGGTAGTTTCGAACTGCTGACCTTGCAGTTCACAGCCCGATTCGTAACCACTACGCTACCAGAGCTCAATATAGGCAACTTCCTATTAACTGTCAAATCATTAAACCTTCCTAGCAGGGTTCAGGGCCACAGGCTGCTTTCAAATTGGCTACAAACTTTGATTCTAGTGACTTCTACTTCCCTTTTAACTTTCTGCAGCCCAACAGGAAAACTTGTTGTTAGGTGCCTTTGAGTATCGGGGACCCCGTATAGTATTTTGAGGCTGTAAGTCTTTACGGCAGCAGAAAGCCTCATCTTTCTCTCACAGAGTGGCTGGTAGGGCTGCACAATAGGGACATGGGCAGAAGAAAATCTGAGGGCTTCTGCCTTATACTCTCCTTAGTTACTAAGGAAGGTCTTTTATGTAAGATTCTCTTCTCTACTTCATGTGTCTTCTTGTGATTACAAAGCCAAAGAACTAATAGCTAGCGTAACCTGACTTAGGCGAGGCTTGGGAAATGGAACAACTCTGTATGCTGCTGTAGAATGTTAAGTCTGTCCTCTGAGTGACTTAATTATTTCCCGCTTAGCACCGTGAATTCTTGACATTTCCATGTTCAAATAAATGCAAGCAATCCTGATCTTGTAAGACTTACTCATAATTGTCCTTTGGCATACCATCACTTGCTCATAACTCTAATATTCTCTATCCTGCTGACTCTTACCCATTACCTGGCTTAGATGGTTCATCCACCCAGGGTAGGGTGGAACTAGGGATCAGAAGAGGTTGAGGTAGAGCTTCACTCTTTCCTTTTGTCAGCTGGTTAACAATCACACTGTCTTCCCAGGCTCAGGGAAGAATCTATGGCAAACTCAAGGAGGAGAACTTCTTTGGTCCCAAGGAGGAAGTAAAGTTGGAGACACACATCCGGGTGCCAGCATCTGCAGCTGGCCGGGTCATTGGCAAAGGTGGCAAAACGGTGAGTCATAAGGCTCTGAGCCTCAGCCTCCAACCCCAACAGCTCTGTCCTGGCCTCTAGCTCCCTGCCCTACCCAGCCTATGATTCCTGATTTGCATCTTTTCTTGATTTTACTTACTAAACTCCTCACTTCTCCAGTTTCTAACCACTGAGTCACTAGCCTTGTGCACCTCCTTCTGATCCCATCATGCTTTCTTATAGCACCCTGAGCATCTCTCTGCCCCTGTCAGGTGAACGAGTTGCAGAATTTGACAGCAGCTGAGGTGGTGGTGCCAAGAGACCAGACTCCTGATGAAAATGACCAGGTCATCGTCAAGATCATCGGGCATTTCTATGCCAGCCAGGTATGTAGGGTGGTCTCCTCCATCTTGGGAGGGCAGCAGGAGCCCAGGGAGCAAAGAAACAGAAGTTCCAGAGATTCACCTGCATGACTTAGACAGGTCCCTTGGCCTCTGGGCTGGATCATCATCCCCCTAGTCCTGATGTAGGGATGTGGTGTAGAGTTTACAATATTGAAAGATTCTGACCCAACAGAATGCGGAGATCACTTGACAATCTCTTTGATATCCCATGCAAGTAAAATTTTACTAAAGGTAATACAGAAACTGCTGCAAGCATACATTGAACTTCCAGAGGTTCAAGCCGGATTCAGAAGAGGCCGTGGAATGAGGGATATCATTGCTGATGTCCGATGGATCTTGGCTGAAAACAGAGAATATGGCTTTCGACTGTGTGGATCTTGACAAGCTATGGACAACAATTGCGAAATATGAGTATTCCAGAACACTTAATTGTGCTCACGCGGAATCTGTACCTGGACCAAGAAGCAGTTGTTCGAACAGAGCATGGGAACACTGAATGTTTTAAAATTAAGAAAGGTGTGCGACAAGGATGTAATCTTTCACCATACTTATTCAACCTGTATGCTGAGCAAATCATTTGAGAAGCTGGGTTCTATGAAGACAAATGTGGCATCAGGATTGGAGGAAGACTCATTAACGACCTGCAATATGCAGATGATACAACCTTGCTTGCTGAAAGTGAAGAGGACTTAAAACATTTACTGAAGATCAGTAAATCCAGCCTTCAGTATGGATTGCATCTCAATGTAAAGAAAACAAAAATCCTCACCACTGGACCGTTAAACAACATTCTTATCAATGGAGAAAAGATTGAAGTTGTCAAGGACTTCATTCTTCTTAGATCAACTATCAGCACTCATGGAAGCAGCAGTCAAGAAATCAAATGATGTGTATTGCATTAAGCAAATCTGCTGCACAAGACCTTTATAAATTGTTGAAGAGCAAGGGTGTCAGCCTAAAGACTAAGGTACGCCTGACCCAAGCCATGGTATTTTCCATAACTTCATATGCATGCAAAAGCTGGACAGTGAATAAGGAAGACCATAGAAGAAATTGATGCTTTTGAATTATGGTGTTGGAGGAGACTATTTAAAGTGCCATGGGCTGTCCATAGAACCAACAGATCTGTATTGGAAGAAGTGCAGCCAGAGTACTCCTTGGAGGCCAGGATGGCCAGACTTCGTCTTTCATACTTTGGACATATTGTCAGGAGGGAGCAGTCTCTGAAGAAGGATATCATGTTTGGTACGGTGGAGGGTCAGAGAAAAAGAGGAAGACCCCAAATGAGATAGATTGGCCAAGTGGCAGCATTGATGGACTCAAGCATGGCAACAATAGTGAGGTTGGCCCAGGATCTGACAGTGTTTCGTTCTGCTGTGCATAAGGTCGCTATGAGTCGGTACCAAGTCGATGGCACCTAACAACAATAACAACATGTGCAAATAGCTCTGATAGTGTAGTGGTTATGAGTTGAGCTGCTAACCTCAAGGTCAGCAGTTCAAAACTACCAGCAATTCCGCAGGACAAAGATGAGGCTTTCTGCTCCCGTAAAGATTTCCAGCCTTGGAAACCCTATACAGGGTTGCTATGAGTTGGAATCGACTCCATGACACATAACCACCACCCATCATGGGCAAAATATTGAATGATGCAGAGAACATCAAAAGAAGATAGAAGAAATATACAGTCACAGTGCCCAAAAAAAAAAAAAAATTGGTTATCATCCAACCATGTGATCAAGAATCTATGGTAATGGCGGTGTTTCAACAAATTGATGTAAGCAACATCACAAATGCTCACTCATCTATGCCAAAATTTTGGAAAACAGCTACCTGGTCAACCAACTAGAAGACATCCATATTTATGCTCATTCCAAAGAAAGATAATTCAGTGGAATGTGGTATTTATTGAACAACATCATTAATATCACTCACAAGTAAAACTAAGAACTGAAGATAATTAAAAATGTTTGTAGCAGTATAACTACAGAAATTGACAAATTCAAACTGGATTCAGAGGAGGGTTGAAGTGGGGATATCAATTTTTATATCAGAGGGATTTTGACTGAAAGCTGAGATATCAGAAAATTGTTCACCTGTGTTTTATTGTCTACTTAAAGGCATTCAGCAGTTTGGGTTATAACAAATTATGGATAAGATTTCATAGAATGGGAATTACAGAACACTGAATTGTGTTCATGCAGGACCAAGAGGCAGTCATTGGAACAGAATAAGGGGACACTGCATGGTTTAAAATCAAGAGAGGTGTGTGTCACGGTTGCATTCCCTTCACCATGCGTATTCAATTTCTATGCTGAGCAAATTATTGAAAAGGTTAGACTATATTAAGAAGAACATGACATCCGGTGGAGGAAGACTCATTAACAACCTGCAGACACAGCCTTGCTTGCCGAAAGTGAAGAGGACTCGAGACACTGAAAAGATCAAAGACTACAGCTTTCAGTATGGATTACAACTCAATCTAAAGAAAACAGAAATAACCACAATTGGACCAAGAAACAAGGGAGAAAACATTTCCATAAATGAAGAAAACATTGAAATTGTCAAAGAATTTGTTTTGCTTGGATCCATCATCAACAACCAAGGAAGCAGCCGTCAAGAAATCAAATGGCTTGTTGCATTGGGCATATCTGCTGCTGCAAAAAACTTCTTTAAAGTGTTAAAGATCAAAAATGTCACTTTGAAGACAAAAGTGTGCCTGACCCAAACCATGATGTTTTCAGTGTCCTCATATGCATGCAAAAGCTGGACAATGAATAAGGAAGACCAAAAAATTGAAGCCTTTGAATTGTGGTGTTGGTGAAAAATATTGAATATACAATGGACTATCATGTGGTGCTGTGGGTTGATTTGCCAGATTGCAAAGTCGTTTAACTGCAACATCAGCGGGTCACACTCACCAGCTGCTCCTTGGAAACCCTATACAGGGTCGCTATGGGTCAGAACCGACTCGAAGGCCTTTCACAACACCACCACTACCAGATGAAAGACCTTTTCTGTGTTGGAAGTACAGAAAGTAATGCTCCTTGGACGTGAGGATGGTGAGACTTCTCAAATACTTTAGATATGTTATCAGGAAAGATCCAGCCTTGGAGAAGGCCACTATGCTTGGTAAAATAGTGAAAGAGGTCAGTGTGAAAGAGGAAGACACTCAACGAGATGGATTGACATGGTGGCTACAACACTGGGTTCAAACATTAGAAAGATAGTAAGGATGGTGCAGGACTAGGCAATGTTTTGTTCAGAAGGTCACTATGAATTGGAATCAACTTGATAGCATCTAACAACACAACAACAATTTTATGCTATGCCTTATATGTTAGAAGTCTTTCCTGTTGTCTAGCCTTAGTCCTTCCCTAGCTTTTTTTTTTGCACTGGATAATAAAGGAAGTCAAGTTCTTTGGGTATTATCCATCACCCAGTCTTGTTCATGGTGTAATGATAACGATGCTGTTGTTAGGTGTCATCAAGTCGATTCTGACTCACAGCACCCCTGTATAGGGCTTCTGAGAGAGTAAATCTTTGTAGGAGCAGAAAACCTCATCTTTCTCTCTTTCAGTTGCTGGTGAGTTTTCAATTGACCACCTTGTAGTTAGTAGTCTAGTGTTTACCCTGCAGCATAACCAGTGCTCCTCTAATGATAATAGTAATAACACCCTGGATTGCATTTTTCAAAGTACAGTTCCTATATATAGCATCAAGCCTAGGGCTGAGAGTAGAAATGGTTGATTCCATATCCTTTCCCCATTTGTGATAATTCAGGTTTTGTGTCAACTTGGTTGGGCCAGGATCTTCAGTGGTTTGACATTTGAGGAGATTAAATCATCTCCAAATAAGACCTAGTATAATGTAAACACATCTATGATAAGATCTGCTATGAGCAGCCAGTCAACTGAAAGGACATCGCCTTGTGGGTATGGCTTGCTTCCACGATGTTGGACAGCTTGCTGTTTTCTACTGGGTCTGGCTCCTGCACCTGGTGCATCACCTGACCACTAACTCTTTGGACTTGAGTCACTGGAACTGCTCTATTGCCTGCCAATCCCGAGATCCTACCTGCCCGACCTGTTGTGTTTGCACTCTTGGTTCATTAGCCCTGCAGCTATATGGGTCAGAAGCCTGGCATCTGACTCTCAGACTCAGGATTTGCTCACTTCTGTTGTGGCACTGTGGATTAATGTGCTGGACTGCAAAGTCAGTTTGAATCACAAGGTTGGTGGTTCAAGCTCACTAGCCCCTCCTTGGAAACTCTATACAGGGTCACTATGGGTCACAACCAACTCAATAGCACTTAGCAACAACAATTGTCTGAGCTATTTCCTTAATAATAAACTTCTCACATACACGTGTACACATATCAGCTTCATTGGTGTTCTTCTTTAGAGAACACAGCCTGAGACACCACCCCAGTCCAATTTTGTCTAAAATCAAGAAACCTAGCACTCTTCTTTGTGGAAAGGTATCTTCGGTTGACTTAGAAAACATTTTGCTAGAAAAATGGAGCTTCTTCATGTCATTTTGTTAACCCAGATCCAGGCATCCCACCCTGTTTCCTTTGGTAGGATATTTGCATGAATAGGAAGTTTGTGATGCTGTCTCCTAATTTGTGACCCTCTGAGAATACATCATATACTTCTGTCTAGAAACTCCAGGAATTCCATTTTAGCCTCTTGAACATGTAGATGCCAACTTTATAAACTGTCATGGTTTACATTTGGTTCCACTCTGGTCCTGCCTCCAGTATGTGCTGTATTATCAGGGTTTCTGTCATAATCTCCAGTCTCCATATCGCTACAGAGCCCCATGTGCTGCCTGTGTCCAGATCTGATGGTTTGTCTCCTCATATAAAAATATCTTCTTGCCTTTGGAGGTTCTCATTTACTCCCCCTTGCTCATTTACTCCATAGATGGCTCAGCGGAAGATCCGAGACATCTTGGCTCAAGTTAAACAGCAACACCAGAAGGGACAGAGTAATCAGGCCCAGGCCCGGAGGAAGTGACCAGACATATCCCGTCTCATCAACTCTAGGACAACGAGTGGAAGTTGAGCATGCATGCTTGACGCCAGCCTGAGAATGAGTGGGAATCAGGGATATGTGAAGCCTGCCTGTAGATCAGGTTTGCCCACTTGGCTTGAGAAAGATGTTCCAGTGAGGAACCCTGATCTCGGCTCCAAACACCCAAACAATTCACCCAACACTGTCCATCCTATGGGATGTCACTATTGAAATTCTATTTCAGGGTGCTTTTAAACGTGGATTAAGTTGAGTTGAACACTCCAGGCCCCCTGGCGAGGGTAGGTCAGACCCCAGTGGGAAATGAAATAAAAGATGCAAAGGATGGTTTCCGTCTTACCCCCAAAATCCTTCCATTCTTTTCCTTCTTGGTTTGTTTGATTAAAATTCAGTACCCTTCTCTATGTCCACACTAATTCCGTCATCTTTACTGCTACTTGGAAAAATGGGAACTGATGCATTGCTTTGATTATAATATTAACTCAAGAGAGAAGACATGCCAGTGACTCAATTCTAGTCTTTTCCTGTCCAACCAAGGAGCAGCAAGGAGTAGAGAATGGGAGAGACATGAAGAGAAAGATGCTTAAAATATACAGTAATCCACGTTTAAAAGGAGTGCCCTTGTGGCTGATCCAGTTTAGATCAACATCCTGAAAAATTGGCATAAATTCCCCCCACTCTGTGGAGAGTCCCCACCACCTTAAGAGCCCTCACTCACTCACTTTTCTCTAACTATATGGGTTCCACACCATGTCCAGGCTCACATGGGCAATACCAAATGCGCAATAGGGTAGGGGTTGTTGACTATCCCTGATTCCCAGCATTCTCAGGCGGATTTTTATATTTTTTTAAAGTCTATTTTAATGATTGGATGTGAGCACTGGGAAGGGGATGCTTACTCCCCTTGATAAAGTCTCAGTTCCATGGAGGACTTGAGTGGCCCCAAAGGCTGCCACGGTGCCCTCAGCCCAGCCCACGTGCTCCAATTAGGACTGGTTCCCAGAGGGAGGGGTTGCAGGGCACACACCCCCACCCCTCCACGGCACGGTTACCTTGGTGGTGATGGGACTTGGACCCAACCCTGAGTTCCTGATAAGAGCTGAAATCCATCAATGGCAAATCTTTTGAATATTCAGTAAATAGGAGAGTGTTCGCTTCCCTGCTCATACCCTAGAGGCATGTTTAACTGATGGCTTCTGCCCCCACAAATCATTGTTGGCATGATGAAAAGTGTGTCTAAAAAAAGAAATTCAAAATACCAGCAATGTTACTCACAAAAAGGGGTACATAAGCTTAATTTATTAATTTACTAGGCTCAATAAGATCCCGCTTGGAGTTTAGCCCTGTGGAAGACAGCAGAAATCAGTGAACTAAGGTTAGACCTCACCTAATGTACTGATCTTCAATGGATAGTATTAGCCACATGATGCATTTTAGCTGTCCTGGAAAATGCTATCAAGTGTGCTGGGAAGGGAGGAAGACCTCTCTGCATGTGGAAAAGTCCACACAAGGAGTTCCCTTCCTCTCGACATTGCAACAACAACAGTACCAACCAGAAAACCATGACATGTGGGCGGAGTCAGGTAATGCTGTGTGTGAAGTAAACTACCTCAAGGTATGAAGTTACCTCAGCAATGATTTTTTTGTCCCCCCACTCCCCCTTTTTTTTCTTTAAAAAAATTTTTTTTGATCTTTTTTTTCTTTTGTCTTTGCGGCTTGCTGATATTTTATATAAGAGAAAAACAAAGCAAAAGAGAAGCTGATAGTCTTGAATATTTTATTTTTTTAATGAAAAGAAAAAAAAATGAGAAAGTTATGTTTCATAATTTCTTACAACATGAGCCAGTAACCCTTTAGGAACTCCCTGTGGAGAACGGGTCTTGTGGGGAAGGTGGCAGGGAGAGGTGCCTTGGGAAAGGCTGGGGTCCGAGGGAAGGCCCAGGCTTTGAGAGCACCCAGAAGGGCAGAGCTGCCTTGCCTGCCTCTGACCTCTGACCTCCAGAGTCCCAAACTGCTGGGAAATCCTACCTAATAGGATTTAAAGGTCTAGCCAAGCTGTGGGGTCCCCAAGGGCAAATCAACAATGTCAACACCAGACATTTCCTGCTTTGGGGAAGGGTCATCCCAGCCAGTCTTTTCCCACCAGCGGTGCTGTTGAGATATTTTAAAATATTGCCTCCGTTTTATCGAGGAGAGAAATAATAACTAAAAAGATATCCTTAGATCTGTATTTCTCTGTCCAAAAATATGGGAGCCAAGAGTCCATTCATGGAAGAAATACAAGGCTGACCTCTCATGCTTGAAGAGGTCCATCTGGTTTGTCATTAGAATGCTTCTCATTTTGTTTCAGTTCAATCCCATCTTGCTTATTATTCTTGGTTTATATCCAGAGACCAAGGGGCAAACCAATAGACGACTGCCCCCTTTTCCCCATCTCCCTATCTTCCTTAGATTAATCTGACTGATTTTAAAAGTGGATCAAACATAGTGCATTCTTGATTTAGGGTGGTGGGTGACAAGGAGGGACAGGCTGTTATACCTTGATGGGGGACAAGTTCCTGCTTCAATTGAGATCTAATTGCTCCCACCCCATTCCTTTGTAGCACCCAGAATGGTCTACTCCAAAGAGAGGAGGAAGCAGGAAAGCATTTAAGAATATAATCAGGCTAGTGTTACTAAGCTTCCCATCAGTCCTAACCACAAAAGGGGTCTCCCACTTACTTTCCATCTCTGGCTCTCTCAAAGCAGATACCATTCAGACTTCGGCCATTTAGTGATTTAAAGTGAAGTTCCAGCAGCAAGCATGCTTTGATATCTGGTTCAAACGATCATCAGAAGGGGAAAAAAAAGAGAGAAATCCCCACAGTACCTGAAATGTGATTGTTGCAGTGTTCGGTTTCCTTGGGACCCTGCTCCCTTCACACCTTAAGCTCCTGTTCTATTCCTTCCGGCTGATCCACCTCCCAGAAGAGAGCAGCTGTAAGGAAGCTGTGGCATGGAACTGTAAAACTCTACTTAATTGGATTAGGCAAGGCTCCACTCATCACTTTTCTTTGACCAGCAGAGAAATGGGTGAAGTACCTGATGAGGAAACAAAAGGAGTAGATTTGGTAGTTAAGGTTTAGCAGAATAAAGGGCCCTCCTTTGACCCACAGGCTAGGTTTTGTGCCAGTCCTTGCTTTCCTGCACATACCTCCGTTTCCTTGGTGAGATCACAGGCTGTAGTGAAAAGCATTGGGGGATTTGGATGATAGGATACGAGAAAAGTGACTGAAAAACAAGCAAAAAACCACTTCTGTACTTTTGAGATACACACATATATATATGTGTGTGTGTATATATGTATGTGGTACATATATATATTTTTATGAAAGAACCATCTTTTTGGATATTTTTGTTTTTCATTCTTTGAAACACATAACAAACGAGAATGGTTTGATTCACTAACTTGCTTTGAAGCTGCACCTGCCAGTTACACCCCAAAGGCTTTCACCCCCCTCGAGGGCCTCGCTGCCTTTTTCAGTTTGGGCTGTGGACTGGGCTCCTGTGTGTGTGTGGGAAGGGGGGGGGGCTTGAGTAGGAGATAGCTATTTTTATCACCTTTCTACTCTTTCCTCAGCTCAGTCTTTACAAATCTTTCCTTTGACCCTGAGCGCTCCACTTCTGGAGCAGCTGGGAGCTATTCTCTTATTTATGCCTCATGATTGACAGGAAAGACCCCATGTATAAAACCCAGAGAAGACTGGAGGCAAACACTCGTGTTTGTTCTATGTGTCCGTTTTCCTCTGTGCCAAAGACAGACAGACAGAGGCTGGGAGAGGCCATTTCTGATATCAAAGCAATAGCCATCTTTGGACATGTATCTGGGCTGTCTGAGAGGAAAAGGCTCCTGGAAGCAGAGCTAGCTAAAGACAAGTCCCTTCCCTTCTGAGGCTCCTGGGGGACTTGGAAGTGGTACTTGCCAAGGGGTAGGGAGCTGAGAAAGGGGTCCTGGTTGCACTTTGGGGAAGGAGGGGAAGTTTGGGGCTCTACATAGTTTAGCTCCTCCTTGTGGGATTGCCCTCAATCCCCTGCCCCCACTGTAGAGATAGCACTGCGGGGGTTCCCTTCAGGCCTGGCAGACTGGCAGTGAGGAGGGGCATCAGTTAGCTCTCAAGGGTGCCTTCCCCTCCTCCCAGCCCAGACATACCCCTCTGCCAAATGGGGAAACAGCAGTGCTATATAACTACCTCACAGAGCCCCCAAGGAATCACTGAGCCTTTCTGCTTCACAAGAGAAATCGGAACCTCTAGTCAACCCTTGCTTTTGCCTCCCATCCAGAGGTGGGGGATCTCCTCCTTCCCCCTAAAGTATTTATGGGGAGATTCTAGTGGCTTTGACATTCAAACCATGCAAATTGATTTGCTGAAAACTGATAGAAGGAAAACAGCCTAGCCCAGTCTGACACAATACTTGCAAGAAGACTGAAGAAAAATCCTCAGTGATGCCAGAGGACAAAAAAGCCATTACCCTTCCAAGCATCTCAATGATTTAGATGCAGAACATTTCTCTTGAATGCAGGCTTAGAGCAACACCAGCTAAAACGTCAGTTTCTTTCCTTTGGATACATCAGGCTTTTCTATGGAATTCAGGGCTGGGAGGAGGCCTCATGACTGAAGGTGGGTGACGGTGAGGGCAAGGACCCAGACCCTGACTCTGTGCTCTTTCATGGGGTGCAGTCTGATGTTGCATCACTGGCGCCTTAGTATGGTTGAACCCGGACTGACGAGAAAAAAGTTTTTTTGTTTTTTTGTTTTTTTTAAATCTTAAACGAAATAGCAGGAAGCTCCTTGGGAGCATGTGTTTTGAGTAACCACAGGTGATGGATGCTACGAGTATAAATGGATAAACTACCTCAACCCTTACAATAAAATCAGAACAGGGCAGGGACTCAGGCGGAGGGTATGACTCCTTTAGAATGATTCCCAGTCAGGAGAAGTGAGTTGAGGCTTGTGCCACTTAAGGTTTGTCCCTGGGGAACGGGCAAGCCTGCCAGAGCCCCCCACCCAACTCATTAGATGGGTTGGGAGGGCTGGCCATCAGGTCTCCCCCATTCTGCCTTGCTCCAGAGTCCCATTTTCACCTTTCTCCCCAGCGTGTCCCTCTCACCCCGTGGTGAGAGGAAAGGAATTGCCCTCTCCCTTCCACCAGAGGGGGCTGGTTGGAGTAAAAGCTGGGGCTTGCCCTCAACCCACCACTCAGCCCCAAAGTCAGGAAGCCTGGGGAAGCCAGAGCTAAGAGCTCTTGAACAGTTTCTTAGAGATACTCCACCTCC